GAAAATCTGATGGTTAACCATCCAGTCGACCCCCTTAATCTATATTAGATTCTAATCATGTTTACAAAGACAAAAATGCCCTTACTTAAGTGTGGGGCAGAGTAACTCTAATAACACAGCCACATAAGCAAGTTACTTAATAAACAGAAGAAGACTAAACTACCCCTATTCGGCACATCTTAACAGTTAAAATTCAAAACAGTATGGACTGTTTTAATAGTTTATACTTTTCTATAGATATCTTGACAGTCCTTGTTTCTTCATTTTACTGACTCAGACACTTGGACACATTAGATCTGATTTCCATGCCCATGTCTGTGTCCATGTAACATAGGGTAGATGGTGTTAACTATGTCCGACAGTAAACAAGTTTTGACAATTTGCTGTGTCAGTGTGCTTTCTTATGGATAGTACTTTGTGGGTCAAATCTCTAAGAGACCCAGTCCATTTTAACAACAGGAAACATAAATTTAGCGAATGGTATACAAGTTGTGAATCACACCTGCAGTAAATCAGAAAAATATAGAAAACAGAAAAGGAAGAAAAAATAATGGAAGGTTTCAGCAAAAGTTTATGGAAGAAGAAGTGGAAGGAAGAGAGAAGAGAAGATGTTCGATCCCTTCTCTAGTCCCCTCAAGATGTCTTTTATTTCTAAATCTAAAACTGAGTACAATTCCTTAGATGTCCTTGATAGGGCGACCAACACTTAAAGAACGAATAAAAAATAAACAAAAAGAGGCCCATAAATAAAATAACATAAACTTAAAACATAACATAAAAGAAATAAAAACACCAAGGCCCATTCATCCAATTCTCACTACACTCCCCCTTAATTTAAGTGTAGATGTCAATCATGCTCAGCTTGCTTACATAATGTTGAAGCTTTGCCTTTGGAACCCCCTTAGTCAAGAAATCTACTAGCTGCTCTTCTAGTCTTCTGATGCAATGAAGGGAAGGCGCACCTCTCCTAAGGCCACTCCCGTATAAAGTGTTTGTCTATCTCAATGTGCTTAGTTCTATCATGCTGAACTGGGTTGTGAGCAATGATAATAGCAGCCTAGTTATCACAATATAACATCGGTGGCTTGTCAAATTAGACACCCATCTCATCAAGGAGAGATCTAAGTCATAACAATTCAGAAATCCCATGGGCCATAGTCCTATATTCTACTTCAACTAAAGATCTAACAACCATTGTCTGCTTTTTACTCCTCTAGGAAACAATATTCCTAGCTACCATAGCACAATAGCCTGATTTGGACCTCCTATCATCAACATTACTTGCCTAATCAGCATCTGTATATACCTCTACCTTTATATGACCATGTTTAGCAAACAATATGCCCTTCCCAGGAGTTCCCTTAAGATTGCACAGTACCCTTTCTACCGCAGCCATATGTGTGTCTTTGGGAGAATGCATGAATTGGCTAATACTGACAACATATGAAATGTTTGGACGAGTCATATAAAGATAAAGAAGTTTCCCCAACAACCTCTAAAACACTCCCCTGTCAACTAAAGGCTTTCCATCACTAGCTGAGAGTTTATGATTCACATCAATAGGGGTGGAGGTAGGTTTAGCACCAAGTTTTTCAGTCTCGATAAGAAGATCCAACACATATTTCTGCTAAGAAATGAAGACACCTTCTTTAGATCGAGCAACTTCAATGCCTAGAAAATACCTCAACTCCCCTAAGTCTTTAATCTCAAATTCAGAGTTAAGTAACTTCTTGAGATCATTGATTTCTTGTGTATCACTACCAGTAACAACAATATCATCCACATAAACAATAAGAAATGTGACCAAAGTATATCTCCTCTTAACAAAGAGGGTATGATCTGATTGAGTCTGAGTATATCTGTACTGGACAAGATCAACCCTAAACCTATCAAACCAAGCACATGGAGATTGTTTCAAACATACCAGGGGGAGAGACATCTTCAATTTGAGAAAGTGAGAAAGTGACTTCTTTAGTGAGGTCGTTTCAAACAAAGTGAGATTGTTTCAAACAAAGTGAGATTGTTTCAAACAAAGAGGGTATGAAATTGAGAAAGTGACTTCTTCAATTTGCACACCTTGCCTTGCATCTCCTTACCATACATACCAGGGGGAGAGACATCTATACTTCTTTAGTGAGGTCACCATTCAAAAATGCATTTTGAACATCAAACTGATAAAGGGGCCAATCATAGTTCACTGCGCAAGATAAAAGAACCCTCATTGAAGTCATTTTAGCAACCGGAGAAAAGGTCTCAGTGTAATCTATCCCATGCACCTGTGTATATCCCTTGACAATAAGATGCAACTTATATCTCTCAAACGACCCATCAACATGATACTTAATAGTGTAAACCCATTTACACCCAATAGGTTCCTTCCTAGCTGGCAAGTCAACAATGTCCCAGGTATTATTTTTATAGAGTGCTTCTATTTTAACCCTCATGGCATCCCTCCATTATGGTTTGGCTAGGGCTTCGATCACTAACTTTCGGATGGGTTAAGGGGAAATGGAGGCTGGAAAGTAGTAGTAGAATGGGGACAATAGGTTGTAAGAAAAATGTTTGGAAATACAATGAGTTGTACTTTTTTGCTTACCTTTTCTCATAGAAATGGGAAGGTCAAGGTCTAGAAACGGAGGTGCTGGTGGTAGAGATGTCAGACCTGTCCTGTTTAGTGATTGGGAATACCTGAGACTCAACTGGAGATGTGAAAACAATCTGTGCTTGCCTTAGTCTTTGTCGCTGATACCACCTTCGGAGAATAGGATGAGTGGTAAAAACAATACTTGCTGATGTTGTTCATTCATTCATTGCAATAAAATATCTTCTTAAAAGGCAATGAAAGTTGTCAAATCATTATTTTTCATGTGAGAAATAAGAATTTCAGACCCTAACATAGACTTGTTCGGGCTTGCCTTGAGGGGCATGGTACAAAGGCGACTCATAGAATCAAGAATGCAATATGTTTTACATCACATTATCTACTTGAAGCAATGCAATTAAGGAAAAAAAGAGATTGTGGGTTTTACATGCTTGAAAATGCTTTATATGTTTGCTTTTATTTTTAAATTTTCATTTGAATACACTTCACATGTTATGTTTATGCATTTTAATTTTAGATAATAGGTTTTCTAAATCATTTATTTTAAAAATTAAGTTTATATTTTTTATTAACATTATGTTTAATATTTTTATATTTTTTTTGCATTTTTTAAAAATTTTTTGGCATTTTTTTTGAATTTTCTGACTTTTTTTTTTATTTTTAGCTTTTTTTTTTGTAACGCCTCGCCTTGCGCCTTAGGCGCAAATTGGCCCTTGCACTTTTTTGCACCTTGCGCTTTTTAAACACTGGACTTGGCAATCAAGTTGGGTTGGGTTGAGTTAGGTTAATGCATCTTTCGGTTCATTTCAGGTCGGATAAGCTTTTGGGTTGGGTCAACAAAGGCTAGACCTTAACCCTAAATATTCAGGTTATGGTTGACCCATGGATCAAATGGGTCAATGGTTCATCCGCTAAGGTTAACTTGTCTTTGACCAAGTTAATGGTTTACACCAAAAATATGGGTTTAATCATCCAGTTCAAATGGTTCAACCATCCAGGTCAACATTGGTTTGAAAATAGGCGACCCAATAGTGACCCGTGATCCAACCCGAAATATTTTTTAGGGTCGGGTTAGGTAAGCCCAACTTCTAGTTCGGGTCATTGCATAGGGGACTCTAACCTTCTTTTTTCACAACCTGCTTTTTTCGGGTTAGGCCAACTTTTTTCCAAGTCTAGTATCATGAGTAGAGACCAACTAGTTACTAATGCAGTCAATCTGGCCCTTAATTGAATAGCCAATACTTTGATTACCCTGGTGGTATATATTAAAATAGATGATGCAGGTAAGGAATACCATATTTTACTTGTATGACATTCTAACAAACCATAATTCTTTGAATGTTTTTCAGCATCTTTTTTTCTCCTAAACTGCTTGGATACTTCTATGTCAGGAAATGGTGAAAGGAAACAAATTAATTTTCTCATTTGATGATACAAAGAAAGCCCGCTTTGGTATACTTCCACGGTATGCAAAAGATGAGCTTCTAATTAAGTGGTTTGAGCTTCCAAATTGCTTTATATTTCATAATGGTAAGGCCTTTTCCCTTCTCTTTCATTCTTTTACTCTCCTGCTTTCATGTTTGTAAGAATGGCTTCCAACAATGCTATATGGTTCAACAGGCTCAGTTTTTCTTCTATTTTTGGTTTAGTAATTCTATATCTTATTTTGTCTATTTAATTGAGGTTTAACTAGCCAAACCTAGTGATATGAGCCAAGTGTTAATTTAAGCATAAATCTGTTCATCTAGGAAACTGAGATGTGTACATTTAATATATTCGTAGATGTTGTATTCACTAAAACCTTGGCCACTATGTAGAAATACTTTTAGATAATGACATATCAGAGTCTATATGTCATCTATGATGATTTGGGATTAAGGGTTGATGAGATTTGCAAGTGGCTTATGCTAATCTGCATGCAGGTATTTTAGTTTTGGATGTTGAAGTTTGAAAGAAAAGGAAAGGAAGTACTCTTCAACAGACATAACTGGATAAATGGAATTTGTATATAACATAGTTGTCAAGGCACCAAGGTGAATCTTGGTAACAGGGGGCACCCTGTTGCCTAGGTGGACTTTTTAAAAATAAAAAGTCATAAAGCCTGGTAATTCCTTAGTTTTCATAGCAATCAGAAGTAATCTTTCACTAATAATTACCAATAATTCTCATCAAATAAATATATACTTCATACAAGTCATATCAAAACATAGAAAATCAACATATCCATGAGAAGAAAAAAACGAAAGAAATGATAGCTTGGATAATATAGGGGCTGAGCCCTTGTTTTCTCCTAGGGAGAAGAAGATCGTCCTAGAAAAAGGAAAGGAAAAAACTTAGAAAATAAAGAGGATAAGGGGTGGATTCCCTCTTTTGTCCCAAAAAGGAAGAAAAGAGGGGCAAAAGAAAAGGAAAGAAGAAGACATGGTTGCTTGTGTCTTGGTTGGATAAAATCTTTAAGTTCTTCCTTTCTCATATGTTCAGGTTTTCAAGTCTTTTAGGGTTCAGGACATCATCCGGTGACTTGTGTGTTTATTTGTTTTTTTGAAAGGTAAAAGTAATGTGTTCAAAAGAGGGAGAGGGCCCCTCAAATCATATTTACATTAGAACTAGAAACATGTAAAGAGCTACATCCAAAAATATATTAAACTTGGAAATTAGCATTGAAAATGATCTTCTCTCAGTTGTTTGCTGATTGAACCCAAACAAATAAGAAAATAAAAAGAAACTAATATAATAATGATGAAAATGTTCAAAATAAATAATTTAGTCTTATAGTGTCTGTTGTAATATATAATATCATAAAATAAAAAAATATAAAAATATTATGTGGCACCTTATACAAAAATAACTAGGTGCGTGGGCAAGGCAATCCTCCATGGGTGCCTTGTTGCCTAGATGTCATCTTGACAACTATAGAATATAACTTAATTTTAATGTAGCAAATGGGCAAGGGCCGAGTTTGGTGGTGTAAATGTATCTTTTTCGTAAGGAAAGTTTATTTCCTTTTAGTTATGGTATCATACTTTCTCCAGGAAACTTTGGTAGTTGTCTAAGATACAGGAAAAACATCAAGCAACTCTAGTTGAGGGGTTAACCAGAAGAACATCTGTTTTAGTGACTCACTATCACCCTTGTTTTTCTTCAGTGAAGTTCCTCCATTTCTTCCTTGATCATTCATGGAAAACTGATTCAGATTTCAGTCATGACTTCTTAAGCACTTGATTGATTGCTTAAATTGAAAATTTCACCAACCCATTTTTGAAAAATGAGTGGATCTGCTGAATGGTGAACCATTTCAGTTGCATCTAACCCTTGTATTTGGTATGCTAAAATCTTTATTCTCATTCATAATTAGTATTGTAAAACTTATGAGTTATTGATAAAAAAAATAATTAGATTGTAAAAAGTAATGATGTGAGACTAGGTTGTAGGACCCTTGGATGCTTCAGATACGAAGTTCCAGGGATAATGCTTTGTTAACTCCTTAATTTTGCTGGACTAGGAACAGGTTATTAAAGTACTCCAAAAAAAAATTAAAGAAAAGGGCCTTCCTTTCCAGGTTGATCTTCTAACCCAGTCCTATGGGTGGGCTGAAATAATTTGCTTAGGAAAGAAAGGGGCCTGCAATCCATTTTAATAGGACAGCAGGCCCTAAAAGAATTAAATTTATATTTTTTTTGATAAATAAGAATTATTTATAAAGGGGATACCACTTGTCCTATCATAACAAGAGGGCTATTCTCTCTCCTCTAGCCAGTTTAAGTTCCAGCAGGGAATTTTCAATTACAGACTTGGATGAAGCAAAACAAAGGCCAAATGAAAGTGTAAATGAATTCATTACACGCTAGAGAAACATAAATCTTCAGTGTGTTGAGCAATTAAAGAAACTTCAACAATACAAATGTGTGCCAACAATCTCTTGTTAGAGATTGCTACCTTTGTAGGCACAACAGAACCGCAATTGTTTGATGCATTGGTTTCTAAAGCCAGCAACATGGAGAGACAAGTTGCTAGGCACAAGACTATGGCATGCAAGCCTAATCCTCCTTCAGAAATGAAAAAGGATGGCAAAAAGCCTGTAGACAAAAGAGAGGTGGTGGCCATCTTTGTTAATGTTAAAAAGAAGGATAAGGATAAAGGAAAGGATGTCCCTAAGCCCATGACTTTGCAAGAAAGAAGGGAAAAGAAGTATTCCTTTGAAAGTGAAGATGTACAAGGAACTTTTGATGATCTCATGGCAATAAATGCTTTTAAATTGCTAGATATAAAGTGACCAAGTGATGTCAACAAGACTAAGGACCCAAAGTATTGTCCTTATCATAGGATGGTTAGTCATCCCATAAAGGATTGTTTTGTCCTTAAGGACAATATCCAATCAATAATAGACAAAGAGGAATTAAATTAGCGGAACCTTCTGCAAAAGAGACTATTGCAATTACTAACAATATATCTCTTGTAGAAGAAAAGGCTCCAACCATCCCTTCTTTATATGAATTCATGGCAGAGCCAAGTATTTTTTGTTTTGATGACTCCTCTACATTAGAAAATGAAGAAAGTTGCTGGACTTTTGTCAACAAAAAGCCAAAAGGGATAGTTAAACCCATAAGAATAGAAATAGTTGCTTCTCCAAGAATCACTTTCAAGAGATGTAGTGTCCCCAAGAGGAATATGAAAAGAAGGTCCAAAAAGAAGCCTCAGATAGTTTTTGAGGATGAATATGAACAACCCTCAAGGTTCCTTGTTACTCTAAAGGAATATGTTCCAAAAGAAATACTTGATGAAGGCCTAGATGAAGTGGACATTGTCTTAAGCATGCCATGTCATATGATGTCTTGTTAAGAAGAGGATGTACCTATAACTAAAAATGAGGTGGACCAAATCACCTTATAATATAGCTGTCGTTGTTTTCCTTCTACACAACAAACTTTTTCAAGAAAGAAAGCAACTGAAGATGCTGGTAACTTTACTACACAAGTAGAGATTGAAGGAAAGGAGGACAAGGAGCTTATTACAAAAGACAGGACAAATAACTCACAATTAGAAATAACAATTTGAGTTTGTCCTGTATGAGAAGCTAGATTACACATCAAGTATGATGTTCTTGCTCAATTGAAGCATATTCCTATATAGTTAGGTGTTTATGAGGCTTTGCAGCTCTCTCGAGAGTTGAGAAGAGCACTAGTTCATGCATTATTAGATCCTGAACAGTTCAAAGATGAAGTGTATCAGTTGGAGGCACAACCAAGTTCCCCTAAGATTTGTGCCTCATGCATGTCATGCATCTCCTTTGATGATGAAGATTTTTAGCTTGGGACAGAGTATCATAACCATACCTATATGTGTCAGGTATAATGGGTATTACACCCATTATTCGAGTACTCCTTGATTGTGGATTTGTAGTAAATCTTTTGCCCTTAAAGACATTGTTGGTTATGGGTATGACACCTCGCCAACTATCCCCTTCGTATCTAACTTTTCAAGGATTTAATTAGAAAGGACAAAAGCCAATTGGTACTATTGCCTTAAAAGTCAAAGTTGGGGACTTATATTCAAATGCTCTATTTCATGTTATTAACCAATGTTTTAAAATGTGGAGGCATGACGCGAGGCGTTCCACTACTTAGAGGCATGAGGCATAGTTTAGAATGCAAGAGGCGTAAGCCTCCTTAAGAGGAGGGGGGTTAGGAGGAGGATGAAGAGGAAGGGGGGATCTCATTTGTTCTTTAATTTTAATAAAAATCTTTTATATTAAGAAGAATAAAGATGCATAACATTAGTTGAAAGGGGGGGTCTTGTTGAAGGGGAGCAAGACCCCCTAACTCAAAAAAAAACAAATTGGGTTGCACTGAAAAGGGGGCGGGGGGGTGCCCCCCAGCCGAAGGGGCAGGGGGCAAACCACTTTCTTCCCCTTATCTTTCGATCCCTTCCCTTTCCTTTCCTTTTCTTTCCTTTTCTCTTTTTTTCTTCTCTTTCTTTTTCTTTCCCTTCCCTTTCTTTTCCTTTCCTTTTTTCTTTTTTCTTTTTTTTTCTGTCTTTTTATATTAGATGTGTATGAGGTGCATGAGGCGTACACCTCTAGCATGCCTCATGAAAAAAAGTGCAAGAGGCGTATGCCTCTTGCACCTAAGGCGTATGCCTCATAGATGTTAGTGCCTCTGGCATACACCTTAGGGCATTTTGGGAGCACCTCACCTAGAGGCGCGCCTCCGGGCGTATGTCTCCCACGCCTTTTAAAACATTGTTATTAACGCAAACACCTCCTACAATGCCCTCCTAGGATTCCCTTGGTTACATACATATGGAGTAATCCCATCAACACTCCATCAATGTTTTGAATTCAACAAAGATGGAGAAATAAAGAAGGTTGTTGCTGACCCTAACCCATTCCAAGGGAAAGAGATGCATTATGCAGATGCCAAATTTTACAAGACTAATGATCTTACTTTGACTTCTCCAAAGAATGGAAACATAAGGGGTAATTTGAATATAGAACACAAACCTCCAACGCATAAGGGTCCATCAAAGACCACCAAGATCATATTTTAAGAGCCAAAACTGCTAATTGGCTCTAAGCCTAAAGTTATCTTTAGGTACACTCCCAAGAGTCAAAGATGCCAAGGGAAGAAAGCCCTCACATCACTACAAGATTCCATAACAACATTAATGACAAGCTATACCTGTCATTTGAGAATTGATCAATCAATCCCATAAACTTAATTAATAGTATCAACTTCTCTTCAAAATAGGAAAGGGAAAAATAAGCAGGTTGCCCTTCGAAGTTCAAGCCCTTATCATTTATGGCTATGAACAAGGGAAATTATAATCCTATTTGTAGTGATGCGACATCAACTTCAGGGATCTCAATACTCACAAATCTTGAAAAGGCTATTTTTAGCCAAGAGGAAGTAAAGCCTCGAGTATCTGTGTTCAAATGGCTTGGAGGCTTGAAAGGTTTTGAACAAAATGAAAAAACAAAATGAGTTTATATCTTCAACTGACTCGTAATACCATCCCAAAAGATTGGCAAAGATAAGAAGAAAGTTTCAAAAAAGAAAAGGCAACCTAACATTACCATTAAAAAGCTGGAGTAGGGTGGAGAATTCAAAGTAGAAGTCAACTACATCTCCACCAAAGAGCACCGATTTGTAGATCCAAAAGAACAAGGTATGAATCTTATTCAAGACTCTACTACTCAAGTAGAATTACAAATAGAAGGTACAAACCTTGACTGTGGGAATTTTGAACAGATAGAATCTTCAAAGGAAGAGGAAACTCGACCTATTAAAGCCCTTCCTAAAGATGAAAGTCCCGAAGAAATCAAGGAGGCTCAACAAGAACCACCAAAGATTGAAGATGGAGGCCAAGCAACTGTAGACGAGCTTCAAGAAATCAACCTTGGAACTATTGAAGACCCCAATCCCATTTTTGTCATTGCTTTACTCACCAAGAAAGAGTTAAAATTGTATGAATCTATACTTGAAGAATACAAGGATGTCTTTTCTTGGGGATATCAAGACATTCCAGGAATAGATCCAAAGATAGCTGTACATAGATTATCTATTTCTAAGGATAAGGATCTTGTTAAACAATCTCAACGTTGCTTTAGACCTAAGCTTATTGTACAGATTGAGTCCGAGGTTGAAAAATTAACAAATGATGGTTTTTCCAGAGAAGTTAAATGTCCTACATGGCTTGCTAATATTGTGCCTGTAAAAAAGCAATTTTAAAAGATTTCAGTAAAAACTATTGTTTGGGGCCAAGGCTTAGGTTGGAAAACACCCCCTCGGTAAATTCTGATTAAATTATGTAATATATATGTATTGTACTAAGTACTAACTAAACAAGGTTCATATGTTTCTATTTTAGTAGAATTTTGGAAGTCTCAAGCAAAGAACCTAGTTTTAGTTAGTGCATGTACAACAGTGACTTTTTTGTTAGGCAATTCTGGAATTTGGATGGTAAATGCAAAACTTGAAGTTCACTTATTTATGAAAGGGCTCAATGGTTGGATTTTTCAACTCTGTATTCTAATTCTTTCTTTGGCTCTTGATGTACTAGCTAATGCTTGGGAGGAGGAGGATGAAATTGTTTTGATAACTTGCCGCCTCGAAAATCCAGATCTAGACATGGTCAGTGGAACTGTAAAAGAAAAGCTTGAAAATTTCAATAATGAGCTGTAAGACATCCTGAATTCATGACTGACCTATAAAATATTTGCATCCTCATTTTTCTTCATGGTGTTTTCTAACTTAGTTCTGTCAGGTATGAGATGAGATTCAATATGAAAACTGGTCTTGCCTCGCAAAGGAAACTGTCAGCATCTGCTGTAGATTTTCCTCGAATAAACGAGAATTATACTGGCAGGTTTGCCTCTGCCAACCTTGAAATTTTGGAGATTGGGTATCAAATAATATACATGTGGAAGAACACATTAATATTCAGCAAATTTTATATTCTCTTTCAAAAGATATATGTAAGAATTTATGATTACATTGTTTTATAGATCTGGATAAACATTTCGAACTTTCTTTGATTTTTTTTATTATACATGTTGAAACTTGAATATTTTGAGATGTTCATTTTATCCTTTTTAAGTTGTCTTCATTACAAAAACTTCATTACCCATTCCCTTCACTAAACTTCAGTTCTATTTTTTCTAGATTTCTTGTCTCTAGTAGTTTTTGATCTGCATTTACATCATTACATGACTTATTTGGGGATGTTCTCGTCATGGTTTAATCTTGGCCAAAAACTTCTTTCTTGAGTGGTTGAGATGGTTGGCTATATGAAGTTGCTTATGGTAGATGCATCCATTTGAAATTCCTTGATCTTCAGGTTATTTAATCCTTGACTGTAAAACATGTTTTTTTTTTATCATCTTGTTAAAGTTTTGAAGCACTTCTTTGAAGAATTTATATTCATCATCCTGTACTCAAATTATCTTGCATGATATCAGGAAGCAACGGTTTGTTTATGGAACCATACTGGATAGCATTGCAAAGGTGACAGGGATCGTGAAGTTTGACCTCCATGCTCAACCTGAGAAAGATAGGACAAAGCTTGAAGTTGGAGGAAATGTTCAGGGCATATTTGACTTGGGGCCTGGAAGATTTGGTTCAGAGGCAATTTTTGTTCCTCGTGAGCCTGGTATTTCTTCTGAAGAAGATGATGGTTACTTGATATTCTTTGTGCATGATGAAAATACTGGGTAACTCTCTTCTCTTTCTGCCCCTCTCCAACAGCAGTACCAGTGCCACAATTTTTTTCCCTAGTAACCATGTTCATCCAATTCATGACTGTTAACTTGCAAAATTCCAGATCTTCTTTCTTTTACAGGATTTTCCTTTAAAATCTAGAAAATGAATTTTATATATTTCCTATATCCCATACATAGTTTTCAAGGTGCCAAGGTGAGGCTAGGCGAAAGGGGGGTGCCTTGTCACCTAGATGCCTAGGCGATGGATTTTTTTTTCTGTAAAAAACATAGATCCTAGGGTAGTTCCCCAGGTACTATAACCATATTTCCTTAATGATTATTCATAGTTTTCATAAGAAAAGTATAGAGTTCATGTTAAAGTATAGAAAATCAACATATTTATGAGAAGAAAAAGAAGGAAAAGAAAACTAAAAAAATATAGGGGCTGAACCCTTATTTTTGTTTAGGAAAAGGAGAAAAGAAAAAGTAGTAGTAGTCGTAGTAGTAGTAGAGGCGTCACCTTGACAACTATGATCCCATAAGATCCTGGTTTTTATCCTTTGTTCATAAGCAAGAACCAAATCCGAGAGGTGAGAGACATGAAATATGAATCATACTCTAAGTGATGAGTTAGAGATACAAATTATGAATTCACAAAAAAATATCTTCCCAGAAAGAGAGGAATACCTGCCAAGAAATTAAAAATGACCAAGCAGATATTGCACTAATCTAATGTAATAAATAATAGATGCCATTATTCTCTCCCTCAAGTTGACATAAAGTTAATGACATTGGACGTTATCCAATAAGAAATTTATACAATTTATTCTATCATGTCTTTGTAAAGGAAGAACTAAATCTATAAAGTTGGTTACAATGAAGGAAGGTAGATGTGACATATATACAACACCAATTTTCTGGTTGAGTTTTTTTAAAGAAGGAACCCAAAAGACCAAGTAATCTTTCATGTATCTGTATAATGGTGGACCCAAAAGGACCTCCTTTGTTCTTTCTCATCATGGGGAAAATTTCAGCCTAAAAGCCCCTGCCTTGTGTCCTAAGTAAATGCCTTTTATTTTAGAAGTAAAACCTTAAAATTTTTAAGAATGATAAAAACACTTTCCAGTCTTAATATAACTCCCTAAAAGCTTCTACTGCTTGGTCAAGCATATGGCTGATGTCAAATAGGGAGTGAAGATGTGGTGAATCTATAGGAACTGATGGATGGTCTGGATTGGCCATATCAGCCCTAAACATGGTATAAATAAGACAAGTTGTGTAGAAAAAAATCCCTGATTGACCCTATTAGGGAACATTTCCCATAAATATTTATATATACATGTAGATAAAAAAGATTTTTATTTAGAAAAATTAGTCTAGATTTGGGTATACAAGTTTTAAGTTCAAGTCCCATGGAAGTCATTTTCATGATTTTATTTAGAATATCAAAAACCAATTATTTGGTCTTGAATAATCTAGATATATTACTTATATAATTAAAATTAAAATTCAGATCTAGGTACATTCAATCTGAATCTGACTCATTTATAAACATACCCCAACTCCTAAGTCAAGATCACCTGCTGTGATCCATTGAATCATGTAAAAGGTTGGAAAATGTCCAAATGAAGGGAGCAAAATAGCAATAAATGGCATTCCTTCATGGGACCAGAAATTTGGGTTGTTTCCTGGCCTGATAACTGGTCTAGGTCTATGTTCATCTAATAGTGTATTGACTTGGTTAATCTTCTCTTATTCTATACATGAAACAAATTTACTGTGTATATGAAAAGTTTGTGTTTATTCTTTTCAGAAAACATATTTCTATGTTTTTAATTATTCTTTAGGATTCTTTTTTTTTTTCATTTTCTTCTATTCTTGCAGAATGGATTGTTGGTGAATAGCCAGACTATTTGATTCATCACCCACCAGTCTGGGTCTTGTACCATGAACAATTCATTTGCTGTCACCCCCTTTATTTTCATTCTTGGGCTCATGCATTGCGGGAACAGTCCTAGGACCAAAATTGCGGGAACATTCTGTAACCAGACTTAATATCTGATTTTCACAAGTCCCATATGATGATTCATTGGTTTGAGCACTCAAATTGTTAAATGTGAAGAGTCAGAATATCATTGTAACTCTAAGAGGACCAAAATTGCATTTTTCCTATTTTTCAAAAATTATTGATATTTAATCCCTTGAAATAGGTTAGATTGTCAAAATGTTCATCTTCCATGCATCATATATGGTTTAATGTTATTTGTGAGTTGTATTGTGAGCAGAACCTTGACTGTTATTTTCATGTTCGTTTTTTTTTTTTTTTTTTTTTTTTTTTCTGTTGACAGAGCTCTTGCTACTAAAATTCTTGCCTGTTTAAATCCAAGTAGGAAGCTTAATTACCATTGCAATGATGGTAAGGCTTGAGGTTTACCTTTTCGAACTTCCATTTTTGCAGAAAATCAGCAGTCAATGTAATAGATGCAAAAACAATGTCAGCTGATCCTGTTGCAGTCGTTGAGCTACCTCATAGGGTTCCATATGGCTTCCATGCATTTTTTGTGACAGAGGTCAACCTTACTGTTTCATTAGTCAATAAATGTCTATATTCCATCTAATTCTTTCATAGATTAGTTGTTCTTGCTGATTTAAGAGATAAACGATGATTAATGCTGTTGTTTCACTTGTATCTTGTGATGCCAAAGAGAACTGATTTTAAATGATATAATTGCCTCCTAAGCTATTATCATTGTGTTCTTATTCTAGCAAGAAGTGTCTTAACACTGGTCAGTGTTAACTTTGCTAAGGGGAAGTACATGTATGATCTTGGAACTTAGCTTATTTTTTCGTACAAAAAAAAAGCAAGGAAACTTACTGATAAAATTGCTAGTACTCTATCCATAGACATTTCTTGGTCTAGTTGGTTTGCATTTTTTCTGTTCTATAAAATGTTCCCTGGAAATTAGTTTCACTTGTTTTTCTATTCAGTTCTTGTCACTTCTCTTTTTTTTTTTTGTAAATTCTTTTCCTGAAGTAGATGGTTGGATATCTAACAGGAGCAAATTCAGGAGCAAGCAAAGCGCTGATCATAAAAAAAAAGTTCAAATGGTAGAAAGTTGATGTAGTGAAAGGCTTTCGCAGTCTTATTTTTTTATGTCCAAATGTTGCTATTACCACTTCAAGGTACTCTACCACTGTTGTATCTATCTTCTGTCTGTAAGAATAAACTTCTCTGTGAAAGACACCCATAGACTCACAAGACATAGCATGTGATTCTAGGTTTCATGACTTTTTAATAAAAATTGCCTTATATTTCATATTTCTAGAACTAATACTGGAATTGCAGGATGCTGTCTTGATTTTCCTCATTATTGGTAAATGCCTCATTTTAATATTTTTTCTACATAGTTGTAGTTTCTACATTTGGCATTGATGAAATAAAAAGTAGGCCTACCCGGTTCTACCGATTTACTTGGCCTCTCATCTGGTCTAGGTTTTGCTGGCTGGGCCTGGCTTAGAGAAGTTATTGGTGGGCCAATTTAGCCCCCTATCTTTTCCTCTTTGCCAGAAAAACCATTGGGTCAGTGACTAATTGATCAAATGCTGGTGCTAAATATTTTATATTTCTTATCAAAACAGCACTTTCACTTTTGGCAGAGTATGAGTGTAATCATTACTGGGATAAAATAAGCATTGCATCAACAACTAAGTTTTTGTTTCTGGTTACTTGCACATCTCAGTTGTTTGGAATATGCAAATTTAACTTGTGATTGGATGATAAATATTCACTTCTCTGGATAGTCCCCCCCCTCCCCACAAAAAGATATTCAGTACTGGATCAAGGACTGAAGCTACATATAGGGAGTGACGAGAAGCTCAAAAGGAAAAAAGGGGGGGAATAGGAGTAGGAGTGTCAGTGGACCGGTTTTGGGTTGGACTCCGTTCAAATCGAAATCAATTTAGACGGATTAGACGAACCAATAAGACATTGAATTTGGACAGACTGGACAGACCAATGACATTGGATTGGACCTGGTCCGTCCATAATAAATTTATATTGGATTGAGCCAATATCTGATCCATTGATAGAAGATAAGAACATAGGTGTCAATGGACTAGGTTTGAGTTGAAACTCAATCTAAATTAACAGGAATTTGAACAGATTGAACAGTCTCTTGACCGGTTCAAAATAGTCCAAAATATACATCGGACTAGATTGGACCAGGTCTATTTGAAATGAACTCACATTGAGCTGGATCGGATTGGACCAAATCCAGTCCAATTGACACCCCTAAATAGGAGATCTACCACATCACCAGCCAGCAGAGACCCCTCCCCATACCATGCTATAACCACATCCACAGAAGACAGCCAAGCCCTACTCATGTAAAGAGAACCCAGACGATGACACCATTCTCTCAAGGAATAGGACTCCGCTGATGTAAAAACCAGTAAACCACCCCCTGAGCCAGGGGCAACAGCACTCTTAACCAAGGTTCAAAATATTGTTATGCTTGATATGCCGGTAGGGGCGTATTGGGTGAATCAATACCTTGTTTTTACTTTTTTTTTTATTTTTTTCAAAACCGATTTAAGGGGCTGGTTTAGGACCCTTCCACTCCCTGAACCGGTTAGACCCCTGATACACACACTGTAGGGGCATATCGGAGAGGTCCCAGAACGATACGTATCGACCTATACGGGCTGATACATGCCAATACTTAGAACCTTGCTCTTAGCCACAAACATTAACATTAATGTCGCAAGAAGAGCAAAACACCTCATCTGACAACCAAAAGAAAATGCCAAAGACTCGGACACTTCAGCTCCTTCCACATGCCCATCTTGCACCTCAGTTCACGACTTCTCTTCCTATTCATCCCCTCCACTGATCCCTAGCCTTTCCTTTGCACTGATAACCCTTGCAAACTCACGATACACAATTTTTTCGTATTATGAGTATTGATACTTTTGAACCATGATACAAATTACTTTAGATATTGCCATTTATTATTGCATTCTCAAGACTCCTTCCAACAAGTATATAAGTTCCAAGTCATTTCTTTAAAGGTAGACTCCTATACCTTCAGTATGCAAAAAGTGCGTCATTACTGTAAAAACCTACACAGAAACTAAGACCAAAAGCAAGAAGCTTCAATTGAAGCCTCCTTCCAATTTCTGGCTTTGAGCTTCCATTTTAGAACCCTTAAGTATTTCTTGAATGAATTAGTCATACAGTGTTGTTAGACTTGAGTTGGACACAACTTGATTTCCCTCAGTGTCATGGACGAAAGTAGACCTGTTCATGGGCCAAATAGTCCAACAGGCTGGCTAATATTTTATACAATAAAAAATGTATCAATAATATATAAATATATATAATTTTTCTTCTCTTTTCTCAAGGTACAGTGAGATCTTTCAGTATTTTTGAGTTCTGAGGCCGTTTAATATAATGAAATCAGTTCTGTTGCCCAATTTCTAGGCTGGGCTTTGGGCTTTATATGGGGCCAGGCTCGGGCTCAGGCTTGAATATATTTTGTTAAAAAGGCAAAGTCTGGATTAAACCCAGCCCAGCCATCCCGTGAACAGGTCTTATTGAAAGGTCCAACCCATGGTTCAAAGTATTGATATGATATGCCCCGTATCAGGCATATCATATCATATCTTTTGAAAAAAATACGCTTTGAAACGCCTGTTTCCAGGGGTTTCGGAACCCCAATTTTTTTTAATAATAAAAAACATGTTCTTAGCTTCTCAAAAAACTAAAGTTTGAAAAAAAAACTAAAAAAAATATAGTTTCAGCCATTTCTTAGTATCGATACAATACGGTCGATATGCGTATCATATCAATACTTTGAACCTTGATTTAACCATCTGGTTCAGTTTAATTATTCAATTCACTTAATTAAAAAAAAATAAAAAATAAAAAATAGCAAATAGTTCAGAACTGATCTTTTAAACTTTTATATAAAAATAAGATTGAAGCAGTAAATATCGTCGGTTGTTATCATAGCTTTACACATGTATTTGAGGTAGGTTTGATGAAGTCAAAATTTTTAATAACTTGGAAACCTAAAAACTGTTTACTGTTTGGATGTTTATATGTTTTGAAAGTTGGGGCACACTCTTTGTTCAATTTTTAATAACTTGGAAACCTAACACTCGTCAAACATGTTATTAATGAGGCACACTCTTTGTTCAATTTCTGTAGTTGCTGGAAGGGTATGGAGATATAGTGTTACCAAATAGGCTTTCAAAACTCATGTCCATCTTTAAAGCCTATAAGGCTGTGTTTGGTTTTGAAGGAAAAAGTAGGGAAAAGTAGGGAAACCTATACAAGCTTTGTATAGGTTTCTCTACCTTTTCCTTCCTTTCCCTACCTTTTCCTTCAAACCAAACATAGCCTAAAGGAAATGCTAGGAATCAGTGGAAGGGATGAATAGTTGAATTCTTTTTTCTTTTCTTCATGGGCCACACAACGGGGGTAGCCTGTCACATATACCCATTAACCCCCTGGAGACAAAAGGGATTTGGTCACAAGTATCTACTATAACCAGTCAGAGAATTTACCAACCGAACCACCAGTGGTTGAGTTCGGATCTGTTCCCTACAGAGTACTCCTGACACCAATCTCACAGAACATCCCAACCATATACTGGGAACATCTCCCATACCTGTGTGTTGTTATTCATGGGAGATGTTTCAAATACACAGCTGATTTGTTTTGTGAGGTTGGTGTGAAGAGTGTTCTGTGAGAAGCAAATCCTGATTCCCGTTAGTTGATTTTTGAGTTCCATTTGTTCATAATGCAATTTGATTTGCACTGGCAAAAATGCATAAGAATGCAAGATAACATCAGTTCCCCACATGTACATCTCAGTGTACATTGGGAACATCTCCCATACATGTCATTGGGAGATGTTCCCAATACACAGTTAGAATGTGCTGTGGGGCACGGGTCCTATGTACCGCGGAGGTAAATTCTAAGATACAATTACTTGGTATAATGGTAAAATCTTGGATTGTCAAGCAGGTCTGAGGGCAGCCACTCTGCAAAAAATGCCATAATTAGGACTGTTTCCAGTCTACCCCTTCCATAGTTTGGACCAGACATTGGATAATGGCCTGTATCTGCACTGCACTACAAACAAGCAAAACAGAGTGAGAACTAAAACAAAAATAAATCAAAATTTGTACTCAATTCTTTTGCGCCAGTACAATGCAATTGAGTGAGAACAAAATGCTACATCATTTTTTAACTGTCTAAACAGCTATAGCCTTGGATATTAAACCACGAGGCGTCCCATAAAAGGGTGAAATCATGTTCCTTTTCCGTCCTCTTTTCATGTCATACATTTCACCAACCGCCCCTGCCATGATGGGAATCATGAGGGTTTAAACTAAAAAAAAAAAATAACATAAAGTGGTGGCTGGAATACACTGTTGATATAGACCAAGCACTGGACACAGCCAATTCAGTAGCTACGCTTTATATGAATTAGTCATGTTATCCCTCTACATATATAGCCAAAAGTGTCCTGTATTCTAGAAAATTATTCAAGCCAGCCATCCATTTATGTCAGACAGCCTAGAATAGGTCCAAGGTTGATCATAGAGCATGGGAATTGATTGATGTTTTTTCTTTCTGTTTTGTGTGTGTAGTGCAGTAATGAGCATGCCTTCCACTATCCTACACATGTAAAGATGAGGATAATCACAATTAAAACTAATGAATCCCCTGCATATTAATCAAGCCATTATAGTTGGTTTTTTTACAAGAAAAGCTTTGACTGCTTTATAACAACACTGTACAGTGTCAGTACTACAGTGTCCATCCTAGTGGAAGTTTCATAATTCTGTCTTGAACTTGTGGAAGAGATGGTACAATTCCGATTTCATATCCAGCATCAAATGGAGTTTTTTATACTCCATTAGTTTGAATGGAGAGGTATGTTTCCAAGGGTTCAGGTCAGTCTGGATTCACTGGATTGGAAATTTGGGTCGGATTAAAATATGAAAACTTGAACCATTTAACAGTGTTTCTATGATCTGATTAACTAGATGGTTGGCGTTAAATCTAAATCTATCCTATACACAAATGAATTAGTAGATCGAACATATCCAATGGGAGGGGTATAGTTACAGCTTAAATCAAGTGATTCAAAATTTAAGATCAGTCATTAACCGGGTCCGTTGGTAAGGGTTGATTTTGATAAGCCTATTTACAAACCTTCTACTAACATTCCGCTGCCAAAATAAATAATTAAAAATTGGGTAAATTGCAGATTAGTATCCTGCATTTTGGGTTTAGTCTCACTTGGGTACCTGAATT